TATGCCGCACCGTGGGTCATTCTGTCCTGCACTTACAGCAGGCTGCCTTTTAGAGCAGTAGCGTGCTTTTACGGTTGTGTTAAAAGACAAGCTCTGGCTTATGAGCTTTACAAAGAAAAATAAAATTCTGGCAAGCGGGTGGGGAGCTGGGCTTCACCACTGCCGCTGCCGCTCGCTGGATCGTGAGCGGGATGCAACTCCAGCACACCCACACCTCTCGGAGAGCAGCAGCCCCCCTTGGGTGGCAGCGGGCCAGGAGCTCTGCCTGGGCAGAGGAGGGTCTGCCTGTCCATTCTCACAGCTGAGAACAGCCGCCCACAAAGCACCGCATAATTGCTGCTTTTTATTTATTCCGCACAGTTGTTTGAGGTTGACCACATTTGTTGTGTTTGAAATCTATTTTGGTGTCCCTGCACGGACCCAGAGCACTCTCCAACTTTGCCATTCAGAACAAAACAGACATTGGGCGAGCTCCTTGCCTTCAGCTGCCCCTAACGCTGCGTGGCTGAGAGCAATGCTTCGGATCCGTTTCACTGCCTCCAAGGGGCTGAGCTCATTCTGGGGATGTTTACGGACCGGTGGCAAGCAGCTCAGGCAACCCATGATAAAGAAAAATCACGTTTACGTCCGTCTCAAGTATGGCCACGATGAAGTGCACACACCTGCCAGGGAAGCTGCTGATGCTACACCTGAGGGAGAGAACAGACTGAAACCTTTAGCAACAGCAGATGAACACAGTTCTCCGTGTTTGCCAAACCTGTACTCACGCATGGCCAGGACCCATGCTCTCCACACCGATGGAGATGGACTGAGGGGTGGGAGACTGGCTGAGAGACACACTTGGGTAACCACAGCCAAGTCTGAACAAGGTGGTTTGGCTGCTCCAAACTCTGGAACTGAACCCCCTACATCACGATGCTCATTTAGCACCAACCTCTCTCCTACAAAGCAATACAAATCCCACTCTTCACTGCTCTGAATTAACCTGATTTGCTTTGTATTATTCCTACTGCTATCCGTTCTTTCCAGCTATGGCCTGGTCTTGGGACATATTCTAGGGAGAGTAGCTTCCAGTTCCAAATCAGGCCTAAAACTGAGCCTAAAATACTGGCTTACACAGGAAAACAGCTCCACTGAAACCATAATTCCTGCATCAACCCATGATGTTGGGACCCTACTTTGAATCCAGTTACAGGCTTCTCCTTTTGGGCAAAGTCTATGTTTGCTCACATTAGAAGAGCTGACTAGCTTAAAAAAAGGTAAGCTAATCTAAACATTCATGTCAAATGTTTAGATGAATGTCAAATGTCAAACTACATAACTGAAAAGCAAATAGAGAGGTAAAATATTTCAGAACAGTGATGTTACAGTAAAAGGAGTTAACAGCACAACGCGGGGTATAGCTCAGACAGCTACTGAGCTCCAGCAGACCTCCGATATGCATGCCTGCAATCTTGGCAGCACTCAGAGTGCTTCCTCCACCCCAGAATGCCCCAGAAAAACCCAGCCTGCTGAAAGAATGCATACTTTCTGAAAAAGCATGAAACAAATCTTCCTCATTTGGGACTGATAGGCAGAGCACATGGAACAGTCTGTGCTTCTTTTTCCCCACCAGTAAGACACATGCTAAATTCCTCCTCCTTTCCAGGAAGGCTGAACCACCCACACCTTCAGAATTCCTGATAGGTGACTCTTCTCCCACAGCCAGAAAATACCATCTGCTCCTCCCAGGACAGCTGTATTTGACACCCCCCCCACCCCTTCTAAAAAGGGAACACCTACCATTGGAAACATCCTGATTTCACATTCAGAAGCAAAAAGGAATGTTAACAGTATGTTCTTTTGAACAACTGCAGGTGCTTTCCTCTCCACTGTGATAACAAAAATCCAACCAACCCAAACTAATTTCAGCAGATTACTTGCAGCCTGAAATATTGCCTTAAACTTGTTTTTCAGGCCCTAAGCTTGAATGGATTTTCCCTTAGAGAACATATATTAAAGTTTTACAACTTTGAAACATATGTTTAGGGAAAATATGACTTCAATAAGAGCTTCAGTTCCACAGCTCCCCAGCAAGTGCCCTGCACCGGTCTGCACGGCACCAGTGATCCACTGCTATTGCTCAGCTGGGTTTCTCTGTTTGCTTGCCATTTCAGTGACATGCATCTTCCCTTGACACATTTCCAGACAATTTTTTAAATCACCCTTTAGAGATAGCCTTGCAATGTGAAAAGCCACCTCTTGGCTGGACTGCAGCCTCCAGTTCACACTTGTTCCAGGTGCTCTGTGAGTGGTATCCATAAGTGCAGTTTGTGGTTATTAACACAAGACAGGTATCTCCAGAAAAACATGCTTTCTTATCTTAGCCCATCCCTTTGGGTAAAAAAGAAAACACAGAGCCTGCCAAGAAGGAGAGGCGTTCGGAACTGTTCATCTGCTATTGTTCAGAAATGTACCACGCAGCACTGCAGTCCAAAGAAGCAAGACTTTGAAAATCCACTAATTCACAAGCAATTGCTGATCAGAAACGCCACATATGGAGCTAGAGTACCGCTTACTCTCTGCTCTTCTTGGGCTGCCAGCAATAATGCCAGACAGGGTTTGCAGAGCTCCTTTTTTCACACTGATGCAATGGCGTAGTACAGTGACAGCAGGATGAGGAAACACCAGCCAGTCAGCAAGAAGTTCTCAAGTGACTGGTATGAAGATTTCTAGGCTGGATGCCAGGAAAAACAGCAGCACTGTCCAGCAGCCATTTTCAGCAGTGGCCCCCCCACGGGCTCCCTCGGCACAAGATGGCTACACCTCTGCATCCCTGGGTGAAGCTTGACTCACTTGAGCTACAAAGACCCAGGCACTCTGAGGCACTCTGGGACACTCTGAAAGGCACTCCACAGGCTGCCAACAGAGAGGGCAAAAGGACAAAGTTTTCCTTCCCCAGAAGCAGGGGAAAAGTGCAAAAAGGCTGGTTTTCTTTCTTACTTCTTTTTTTTTTAAAGGCACTGGCTTCCTTTTTCACTTACAGAACTACTTTTAAAAAGTGCTCTCAACATTTTCCTCCCATTTAAGCAAGACAGAATATTCCTTGTGAACTTCATGGGACTTCACTTTCTTCTCCTGACCTACCAGGAAAGAAACTACCTTAAGAGATGGCAGCAACCAGAACTGTCCAGAGGAGAGGTATAGACATACTCTCCTACGCTTTAGGCTGAAGAGAACCCTAGCCAAGCAAAACCCATTCCCACGTTGTTCCTTTGATCCCACCGCAGTGCACTAACCAGAGAATCTGAAGTGGAACAACGAGCGCTCTTAAATACGGATTAGAGAAAGCTCTTGAACACTTTCCATACTTGGGTGCAGAGAAAGCGATGAGCACTCTAGTGAGTAATTCCTTCTTGTTTACTGGCTGTCTGCATACACAGGAGCTTAAGAATCGCAGGAAAGGGGCTACAAAAGCATTAGCCGATAAGCAAGACCAGCAAGAGATGGCTACTATTCCACAGCACCCCAAAGGGCAGACAGGCAAAGCTCAATGCAAGGTCTTAAGAAGACGAGCAAGACCACGTGAAGGAAAATGCAGTCAGTAGCTACTGCACACTAAGGAGAACAAACATTAGAACCAGGCAACAGACCACGGGATAGAACAAAAAAGTCCTACTGAACGCCACAAGCACGCTCATCTATCTAGCACAGACTTGCCATCCCACTGTTCACAAAGCTTTAGTCTAACTTATTTTTAAGCAGAGATCAGTTACTCTCCACAATTGCTAAACAACGTTTATGCATACAATCAGGAGAGAGTGGTGTGTCGCTAGAAACAAGACTGAAATCTCTGACCCTTTTAGAGACTTTCTGTGGTCAGAGCACATCTGCTGTAGGACATTTAGACGTTTAAGTAGATTTGTGGTACTCCAGGCTGATGGTGGCTCAGCATTATCCACTACCCCGATTTTATAGCCTTAGCTTTCCTGTGTAACAGTCAATACAATTTTCTAGAAGATGGCATTTCTGCATAGTCCAGGTGACATCAATTTTCTTGCTATGAAGAGCTTTGAAGTTTCTGCACGTTCCAGTAACTCACCAGTGCAAGCGAAGAGCATGGAGAAAAGCAGACAGCCCCTCCATGACCAGGAGAATTGCTACTGTCAGGGTAGCAAAAGCAGCAAATATGAAGAAGAGGCCAAAGCCTCCACCCAGACTCCTCACGCTGAGGCCAATGTGGATCACCATGGTCCAGAGCACCTCCGAGAGCTCTGCCAGGAGAAAGGGGAGAAGGCGGCTCATTTCAGA